GGCATGTTGTATGTAAGGCATGGGAGGTAATTGTCCTACTCTTCTCAGCACTGGTGCTGTGTCCTATTCTGGGTGCCATGCTTTAGGAAAGATGTGGACAAATTGAAGAGCGTCCAGAGGAGAACAACAAAAATGACAGCATGTTTAGAAAACCTGACCAAAGAGGAAAGGTTAAAAAAGCTGGTCGTGTTGAGTCTTGAGAAAAGACGTCTGAGAGGGGCACTGAGAACAGTCTGCAAATATGCTAAGGGTTGTTATAAAGAGGACAGTGATCAGTTTTTCTCCTTTTCCACTGAAGATAGGACAAGAAGCAATGGACTTAACCGACAGCAAGGGAGATTTAGGTTAGATGTTAGGAAAGTCTTTCTAACAATAAGGATAGTTAAGTTCTGGAATAGGCTTCTGAGGGAGGCTGTGGAATCCTTATCACTGGAGGTTTTTAAGAACAGGTTGGACAAACACCTGTCAGAGATGGGCTAGGTTTACTTGATCCTGCCTGAGTGTAGGGGGATGGACTTGATGACCTCTCAAGGTCCCTTCTAGCCCTACATTTCTGTGATTCTGTGTGTTGAGGTCTAAGGCATTAATTGTGGCAGCGATGCCGAGCTTGAGTCTGATCTCATGAACCCTAGTTTTAAACTCCATTGGTCTCACTGGAGTTCTGCCTGATTTATGAGTGTAAATGAGAGGAGAATCTGGCTCTTTGGGTCAATACTAGAGCTGATCAAACCTCTGGCTCTTTGGGTCAATACCAAAGCTGATCAAACCCCAGAATTTCCATTCTACACGATACTCTGACATTTCAAAATTTCTTTGCAGCCCAACTAAAAACAAAAAAATTGAAGATTCCCATTAAAAAAAAGAATCTGAGAAAAATGCCATGCTGGAAGTGTCAGAACAACCTCATCAGACTGCTTTGTTTCAAATTTATCATTTTGACTTTTATATTATATTTATATTATATTATATTTATGATATAACATGACTTTTATATTTATACATTTCTAATATATAATAGTCAAAACAAAGCCAAAATGAGGTGCTTTGATCTTATTGCTCTTAAGCTCTTTGATAATTTTTCATCAAAAATTTTGACCGAATTGACAGTTCTCATGAAACATTTTGATCTCACTGACATAGAAAATTTTTTGCCACCTGGCAGTCTGTTGCTGTTGTTTTTACATTTGCTTCCTCTCCTCTGCTGTGAAAAAGATAGTAAGTATGTTGAGTTTCAATGCATAGAGCCACCTAGTGGACATTACAGATGCAGTTACATGAAAGAGCTGGGGAAAGGTGTGGTATGGGAGAGGTGTGTGAGTAATGGTGTGCATCTGACACACACGTGAGTGAGAGAAGTTCACAAGACTGTGTGTCCCAGGGGAGGAGCAGCAGGAAGTGTGGGGGAGGGAAATGAAGTACTGAGGGGAACAAGAAAAAGAAAGTGAAGAGTGATAAAATCCAGGGGTTGGGAAAGGAAAGAAGGGTGTATGTACAAGAAAGAGAGAAGAGCGGGGGGGGGGAAAGGGGGAAGAGTTAGGGGCTATCCATAAATTGTTACACATTTTTTGGTGGTTTTCAATACCTACCCCTTTGTAACACTGAAACAAACATTTAAAATTAAGAACCCACCCACCCCCTAATGGATTAATTTATGGACAGCCCTTTATGTACAGTAGATGCACTTTAAAAGTCACAGTGAATCCCCCACGTCCCATATCTATCTCACAGGGGGAAATCTATGGCCAGCTCGGCTGTCGCTGTGTGATAATTGTTGACAAATGCCAAGATAATCTTGGTGCTCAGCTACTGCAGCGCTGAGCATCTTAGGAATTGTTTACAGGGGTTTAATTATTTGCAGTCAGCTTCCCACAGAATTTGCAGCGCCCAAGGTGTTTCTAATAGGATATCAAGGGAAGAACATGGGACTTCTGTAGATAGGGAGATAACTGTATCTATTTATCCAAGGTAAAATTGGCAAGCTCGGTTGCTTGGTGTGGGGGTGGAGGTGGAGGCCTTTTGATGGCAACTGCTGTATGGGTCAGAGGTGTTGTTACCAGTGATATTCAAAGCTGGTCAGTTAGAAAGGACTGGTACTATTTGCACTGCTGCCTCAGAGTCGGGAAGCTCACAGGAGAAATGAACAAAGCAGTTCCTGAGCAAGAATTTCTCTACCTCCTGACTGATAAAGAGCCCTCCAGGCAGGAGGGCACAGGTGAATCCTGGAGGGTGCTTGCTAAGGGATCTATGGATTCAGAACCATTAACAGTCCAGAAATAAAATAGCAGCAGAATGAAAATGCAAAGAATATGGGTCTTAAATGTGCAAGGAAGCTATTTACATTACTCTTTTGTGAGGCAGTCAGTGGTGGTGAGCTCTCTGACTCCATTCCCTGCAGTGCCTGCTACTGGGAGAGGCTGGGATGAGAGTAGCTGAGACGGTCACCTGCCATTCCCTACAGTAGTGGTTTTCAACCTTTTTCCATTTGTGGAGCCCTAAAAAATTTCGAACGGAAGTGCAGGCCCCTTTGGAAATCTTAGACACAGTCTGCAGACCACAGGTTGAAAACCACTGCCCTTCAGCAATTCCTGCCTGGAGAGGCTGGGGCTAAAGCCACTGGCAACTCCCCTACAGCTAGTGCCTTGGTCCATTTCCTGCTGCCCCCTGCTGGGAGAGAGAGGACTGGAGTAACTGTGCTACTGTCCCATACCATACCCAGTTCTTGGTAGAACCGGTGGTACTGGCAGGAGCAGCACTAGCCGTTCCGCCAGGCAGGGCAGAAAACATTTTTGGTGCCACCCCCTCCCTGCGAGTCCCTGAGCAGAAAAAAAACCAAGTCCCTTTCCCCACCAAAAAATCCCCCGGCAGAGCAGCACAGTGATGCAGCACCCCCTGGAAGCTGGCGCCCCTGCTTCCCCGCCCCAGGGTACAGAAGTAACTGCTGGTGCCCTACTCTATCCCCAGTGCCTACTTCTGAGAAAGGCCGGAAGTGGAGTAGTTGGGAGCTTCCCCACTGGGGTGCTCCCGCCTCTTTCCCCCCACAGAGCTCCCTGCTGCGAGAGGCTGGCATCACACTTTCTCCATAACCTGGGTTGCTCCCCACAGCCATTGTAAGGTCTGCCCAGACTCACTCATTTCAAATCGACAAGCGCGCTGACAAAACAAACCTGTCAGCTGCAGCCCCACAGCCCCCACCTATGATCCAGCCCTCCCCCTCTAAGTGCTCCCTCGCTGCTGGAGGGGCGCGTCTGGAGTTCATTCCAGAATTTCTCTCCCCAGCCCAGCCCTGGGAGAACCCACTTCCCAGCCTCGGGCCCCCAGCTGGAGCGGTGAGCACTGCTCCCCTCTGGCTTATGGCAGTGGAGGCATCAGAGGGTTAAGTTGTCAGCTCTGTAATGTTAAACAGGTGTCAAAGGCGCCTCCATATATCTGCAGATTGAAATCAAATTCTTTGCAGTATAAAAAGATAAATTACCCAGGCGATTCCCGCCTCATCCCACTCATCAGGCCAGCACCAGACGGCAAGCAATTTTTTTTTTTAATGTGCTAACGACCTAATCAAGCAATCAAGTTGGAGAAGATTGCGGAGTGACCCCGAGCATCCATCTGCCAGCGAGACCCCGCCATTCATTTCCACTCTGCCATGTACTTCCCTGGAAAGAAAAAAAAATTCCTAAACAAATTAACACCCAATTTTCCGTGAGTCTAATTAGTTAAATGAGGAGGTGGTTGGGGTGTCCTCAGGGAGGGAGGGGCTGCCTCGCAGAGAGGCAAATGGTAACTCCATGGCATTAATTAGCGCGGGTCAATGGCCTGGTTCCCAGGGGACCAGCTGCTTTAATTTCCCGTGATATTTCAGTGCCTGAGGCCCATCGATTCAAACTGAAATTAACTTATTTTTCAATCAGGCCCGGGCTGCCCCTGGGGCTGACGCTTCCTTTGCCGCCTTCTGAATAGACCTCGAGCAATTTTTCATCTAAAGCTGATGCCGCTCCACTGCGGGAAGGGAGGGAATGAGGGGAGGGTGGGGGGAGAGCGAGACAAGAGGAATGGAAATCGGAGCGAGAACACTAATAGATTTCTGTGAGCCCCCCCACCCCCCCTTGATGCCACCCGAGTCTCTGCTCACTGTCCCCTGGGTCACAGCCCAGAGATTATTCTGCCAATTTTCTGAGAAGATGAGGGCCTTTTCAAACGGGGAATTCAGGGCAAGCTGTGGCGATCGCCCCCCACCTCACACACACACACCCTCAGCACACACCACTCTGGGCCAGCCATCCCCACAGACACTGCTGCACACAGCCTCTCTCTGAAGCTCAGCCACTCAGTAAATAATGAAAGAGAAAATCCCAGGCACCCGAGCCAAAAGCCACTAGCGAGAGACACTGCAATGGGAAATTAATTACATCCTGCAGCAAGAGATGGGACTTGCACTGAAGGTTGGCTCCTGCGAGGGTGGGGAAAAGACACAGACTACTGGAGGGGCGCAGGAGGGGAGGAAAGCCACAGCTGCTCCAATAGAGAACATGTATTGCCCCCCTGGGGTACACATGGCAGCCCCTGCACAGCCACTCAGGGGAGAGGTGTAGCTGCTCCTGAGACATCTCCATGTCCTGTAGAAGGGCGCTCTTCACCCTCTCCGAGAGATTGAGGGATATTGGCAGAGCTGTGTATAGAGCGTCCCATCCTTGGCATACCAAGGGGACCTGAGGGGCATCAGCAGAGCAGCAGGTGGAAGCTTGCCCATTTCTGGCCTGCACTATGCCTTGTCCATTCAGCAAGGTCAGGCCTGTGCTTTTGTCAGAAATAAAGGTGACTAAAGTCTCTCGCAACATTTTTAATAAATCTCTCTTGTTTTGGCTTGTGATGCCTGAGGGGGACATACGCCCTCACACAGATATCCACAAGCACTTGTCCATGCACGCGCACACACAGAATCCCAAGCTAACTAAGGGGGCAGCGACAATTCACCGAGCCTCAGTAAACTGCTCTGCTCATTGCAGGTTTGGTTCCAGAATCGGCGAGCCAAGTGGCGGAAGCGGGAAAAGTGCTGGGGCAGGAGCAGCGTGATGGCAGAATATGGGCTTTATGGCGCAATGGTACGTCACTCCATCCCGCTACCAGAGTCTATCCTCAAATCCGCCAAGGACGGCATCATGGAGTCCTGCGCCCCTTGGCTCCTGGGTAAGAGACCAGCACCCTACCTGGGCACAGGCATGACATGGAGTGACATGTTGACATGGAGTGACATGACACTTCTAGGGAGTGACATGTTGAAATAGGGAAACTTAGAGTAACACTGGAAGTTACACTCACACTTTCCCCATACCCGAGAGCACAAGGACATTGCCTTTTATATTAGGGCCTGACCACTGGGCCCTGGGGTAGGGCTGCAAGCCCTGGGTCCTGACTTGAGGGGCAAGGATATCAGCCCCTTGGCCTGGGGTGGGGTAAGGTATCAGTCCTCGGGTCCAGACTCCTGGGGTGGAGGCTATCAGCCCTGAGCCCAGACTCCTGTGGCATGAGGTGGGGGTACCATCCCCTTGGCCCAGGTTCCTGTGGCATGGGCGTCAACATCCACTGTACACAAAAGCCATGGCAGATTCGGTTCCCTGCTACACAGCAAGAAGTTGTCTGGGTCTGACTCCTGCAGCCCTTGAGGGGCCCCTTGTGTGATGCTTTGCTGTGGGGGGGGGGGGGGCAACTTTGTTGTTCCTGTGATGAACCAAGTGTCCTCCTGAGTCCTCTTTTTGGGAGGAAGGGAGGGACTGGTATCCTCCCACAGTTCCCTGCAGCTGAAGGCAGTCTAATTCCTGCCTGCCTTCTGCTGGGGGGTCGGGGGCTGTGTGGATGTGGAAGTAGCAGATTCCCTTTCACATTCCTGCTCTTTGCTTCCTGTTTTCTGATCTCTCAGGCTCATTCTGCCAAAAAGCTCATTTCTGGCCTCTTAGAAATGCGCTGCCCTGTCCTTCTGTCTGTGTGAAGTTGGGAGCGAGAGAAGTGGAGGGGTAGGCTGTGCGAGAGGGAGGAGAATAGGCAGAGGGACACCTCTCATCAGCCCTGTGGGTGAGAGAATAGCCAGATTCCCCTCCTGCTACCTGGCTCCAGTAATAGGGTGCTGTACAAAGGCGCCCCCCTGCCCTGTTATCTTGTCATTGCTAGTTGGGTACCTTCACTGTTCGCTTGTGCCAGGGAGCCCATTCTGTTTGATCCCTCATGCTCCGGTCCTGCAGCCACACCCCTAACCTCTGGGGCAGGAAATCCCTGGCTCTCCATGATGTTTAGCCTGTGCCTCCTGAAGTGGCATCAGACTTTGGCACATTTGTCCACTTCTCAGGACTGGCCCTTGAGGAGCACAGGGATCTGTCCCCTCCCACCGCCCTGCTCTCCCTTAGGTGTGGCCTATCTCAGTTCTGGCCAAGTTCCATGCCTGTTGCTACAGGCCTGGTTCCTCCCTTATGTTTGGCCTGTTCAGAACACAGAGTTGGCACAAGCTCCCCCCTCTGGTCTGTCCTGGGCTCCCCCTCAGTGCTGGCCTGTCTCTAGAAGAGAACTGGCCTGAGTTCTCCCTCATGCAGGGCCCAAAGCAATGGGCCCTCTGTGTGACTGCTGTTTGAAGCAAGGGTTTCTGCTTTTCCTTAATTCTGGCCTCTCTTTATCTTTGCTGTTTTCAGTTCAAGATGGCTTTCCCATGCCCAGGCGCTTTTCTAAACCCGAATACCAACAATTCTTTTTAGGGATGCACAAAAAGTCTCTGGAGGCAGCAGCTGAGGTGGGAAGGAAGCCGGAGGCGGAACGCCAGGCCCTGCCCAAGCTCGACAAGAGCAGCAAGGAAGAGAGGGCCCCGGATCCCAAAACCACCATTTCCCAGGAGGAACTGAGAGAGAACAGCATTGCTGCCCTCAGGGCCAAAGCTCAGGAGCATAGCACCAAAGTCCTGGGGACCGTACCTGGGGACCCCCCCACCCCAGCCAGGAAGCCAGAGAAAGAGGAGGAGGTAGTGGCAGAGGAAGAGAGACAAATGGAGAAATCAAACTCATCACAAGAGGAGGAGAAGCAGATCTAGAGGGAAAGAGATGATGGAAACCAGCCCCCAAAGACTGTCTCCTCTGGGGGGCAGCAGCCTCCTCTCAGACTGACAGGGCCCCTCCGACAGCCCCTTCACAGGGAGTGAGGCCCCCACATGGTCTCTGTGCATTTCAGGAAGCCACAGGCTCCGGCCAAGCTCTGACTGTCAGGTGTGTCCAGAGACTGTTCCCCTCAGGAGCATTCCTGACCCTCCACTGTCCCTGCCCTCAGGACTATTCCTGCCACACTGCCCCCTTCTTTCTGAGGGATCAGGAATTATCAGCATCTTCTTCTGAGAGGAGACTGGGGCTAACTGAGCCTCTGGGTCCCTCTGTATCAGCCTGAGAACCAGCTTTGTGTCTCTCCTGTCCTGATCCAACATACCCAGTCTCAGAGCGAGTCTCTGTCCCAGTCCCACCCATTCCCATGTCAGAGCAACTCTTTCTCCCTGGTCCAGTCTCCCCCACCCCAACCCTGAGAGCGAGTCTATCCTCTGCTGCATTCCCACCTGCCCAGAGCAGCATGAACTCCATCTCCCAAAGAATGTGCTTCTTCCCAGTGTGTTTATGGACCTGGCCATTGGCACCCAAGAACCTGGTGTGGGTGGGGCTGCCCCACTGCCCTCACAGGGACCATTTTACTCTTTCTCTGGCCTAAAGCACTGCGGGACAAATCCATGGAAGTGTTTGCGTAAAACAGTGAGTCTATTTAAATGGTGGTTTGTATATTCCATGTGTGTTTTTCCTGACTGAGTCGTGGAGTGTCCGAGGGGCACTGTGAGACGGGGAGGGTGGTGTGCTGGACAGCTGACTTTGGTCTCGGTTTTCCAGTAAGAAGCCAAGGGGATGGGGAAGCGCAGGCTTAACTTCCAGGAGCTGATCCCTACAACCTCAGGTACCCAAGACCCATTCCTTCCCTTTGGGAGTATCCCAAGTCCTGCACCTGTCTTCCCCTTATAGGCGTGCCGAAGACTCATAACCCACTCAGGTACCAGGTCCCTACCCTCAGCCATCCTGAACACCTACTACACCTGACATCATGCTTAACAGGTATCCAGGATCTAACGGGTACCCAAGTGTTGCTCCCAGCTTCACCCCTTACTGGTAAATGAGACCCGGCTCCTCCCCGCATAGATACCTGGCACTTGGCTCCACCCTCCTCAGCTGCTGAGGCCAGGCTCCACCCCAACGCTGCACCCTCCTCCATGCACTGTATCATTTTAGCTGTAATCTAGGCTGCCTCAAACTGCTCCCTAGAAATGTTTGGTCAGCACATTCCGCTCCCCAGCATAAACTGCTGAGGTTTACTCATATGGATTAGTAACAGAGTCCTCGCTGCAGGCATGCCCTGGGTCCAGCCTGTTTCCACAAAGCTCATTCTCAGAGACTTGGTTATGGCTCCCAGAACAGCAGGGCATCCCAAGAGAGTGAGAGGCCTGCAGGTTCTGCTGAATCTCAGTGTGGAGTGGGTCAAATATTGGGGGAGAAATATTCACTGAATAAACGGTTCTATATCAAACAACAACGTTTGCCAAATTAGGTATTTATTGAGTTACACTCCACCAGCAATGTCTCTGAGTTTCAAAGGGAGCTCCAGCCACATCCACGGATATGCAGGCATGCTCATTAAAGCTCTGAGGTGTATGCCTCACACAGACCCCCCACATGAATACACACAGACCCTGTCACTAACAACCAACAAAACCCACTAGCCAGACATCACAGCTCCAAGATAACATTCCCCTTCTATCCTGTTGAGGAGCCACCCTCCATGAAGGCTCTAGGACAATGACTTACACCTGTCCTTTCTGTCCTGCTTTCAGCTGTGAGCTGCTTTTCCCCAGAGCTACTGTTTTTATTCTGTCAAAGGTTGATCCTTCCCTTCCATGCAGCCTCTGTTTGTCTTTGTCCCCAATTTGTTTGACGTGTTAGACTATAGCCCATGGTGTGTAAATACTGTACATACAGTGAGAAAAAAATTCGGTATTGAGGTGTTTGAGGTATGGAACTGTAACAACTTCTAGTAATTCAGAACCTGTGAGTTATGTGCCATTTTCTGTAAAGATATAAACAAGAATAAAACTAAACTAAAGCTAGCAACAAGCTTGGAGGAATCATCATCTTTTGGAGTAAGGGGGTCTGGACGGAAGGCAGATGGCCCAGCAGTTTGGGCATAAGTGTAGAGTGTGCATGTGTACTTGCGTGTGTGTGTGGGGAGGGGGGGAGGCACGCCCATGCACACAACTAAAGGAGGGATATATGTTACCCCCACATCTGTGTGAAAGTTGTTTCCACCTGCTCTTAAGACAACCAGTGGAATAAAATAAAAACATGGAGTAGCCCAAAGAATTTGCTTTGTGCCAGAGCCAATGGAACCTAAAAATGTTCAACTTCTGTTCACAACCCACCATTTCCAATGTGGTGCCAAATGTGGTCCAATGAATTCTCAGTTCTGTAATGTTTAGAGAGGGAGCTGGGCCTCCCAACAAGCAACTAGCACATTTCAAGCAGCACCAAATAAGGGTGACATGGCATTGGTCATGGTCATCCCTGCATCATATTGCAGCAGGAGAGGTGCTCAGGGGACACATTTACAATTCTCTCCCCAAATGCCACACACCATCTTACACTCAAAGGCCAAAATGCAAGGCAGATATTTCCTGGGCATCATGTAGGACGTATGGAAGCTTGGGGGCCTCCTGGGAAGGGGGCTAGTGGCGTATGTTCTAAGGCTTCATATTTCAAGATTTACTTAGCGCTGCTTCTAATACCCTGCGTGTACACACATGCCCCACACACAGGATTTCACTTCTCACACCGCATACACATCCCACTTCAGCCACATACACTGTGTCTCACCCACAAGCATTTACACCTTGCACACACCCATGGTCACACCTCACAGACACAGATTGCACATACCTGTACTTACACACTTTACACTCCCTGGCACAGGCACAGTTCTGCTTTGCACATCCAGGCACCACACATACACCCTGCAGACATGAACACACTTTACGCACCAACACAATGCCATGCTTACACTTTGCGCACATCCACGACTCACCTGCACGTCACACTTCACTTAATTGTACACAACACACTTGGCACACATGCCATTCAATTTAATAGTACTGTATTGATATGACGAGCTTTAGGAGCATTGCCAAAGTAGCAAACATACCAGGTATCTTGTAGAGATAGCTACAGGCTGGTTTAGATGGGGAGTCACAACTGCACATGGAACCAGAAGCCGTATTCTGCAGCATTCTCAATAAAAAGGTATGGTAACTGCCCATGACAATCTATCCATGGAGTCAAGACAGCGTCCTTCCTCCCTGAGAAAACCATTGGCCATATCTTAATTATCCTTCATTGTTCATTCACCAATGTAAAAAATACACAATGGGGGAGACATGTGCCTCTTTTATAAAAGAGGTTGGTGACACTTTGGTCTCAATCTGGCACCCAGGACTGAACCTTCCATTGCTACAAAAACTTCCATTGCTATTGGGGTTGTTGGGGAGGGGGGAACATATAACACCATTAAATCAATTTACCAAGTTAGGTGTAGGGTAAAAGACAACTGCATGCAAATAGAGGCCTTCAACTGAGAAAGGCGCAAGAGGGCACACGCGAGGGGTGGGGTGGGGGTTAGGGTCTGTCTCACACGCAGAGCTTGTCGTGCCAACAAAGTATTACTGAACTGAAATGGAAATTGCAAGTTTGGACTTTTACTTCAGCCCACTCTTTCCAGCACATACTTCAGTGACCTATGAATCCTACTGGAGCAATCCCTTGACCCAGCTGTTCCAGTGTACTACTCAGAGATAAAGCCACCACTGGGGCTAGAGAACACACACTGCACCTCAGGAAGAGGTGATGCAAAGATGTCTTTAAATGCAAAGCTCCCCAAGTCTGGACACCAAGCCAGTCCCTCAGTGTAACTGAAAGTAGCCTGAAACGTGCACTAAATTTCACCAGGCTGTAGGAAAGCCCTAGCCATGGGGAGAAGAGGGACTGAAAGCTTTATTACCTAATATATAAGTCATTGAAACTAACTGATTTTAAAAAAAACAATCCCACACTAGCTGATACCTAGTCACAGTGAAATGTGCCAAACTTACACAGACTCTTACCAAATACTGAATCCGTGACCAAAAGCAAGCGAGAGATGCTCTGCGACTGGAGACACAAATGAAGAGAGGAACAGCTATGCAGAGAAGAGATTGAAATAAAGACATTTTTAGTCCTGTGTCCAAACTCCAAGGGTGTGAGAGACAGGCTCTTCAAACTATCAGAAATACTTAAAGACATTCCATTAAATGGCAATAAAGAAAAACTGGGTAACCCTGTGTATCCAATGCACTGGCCCTGGCCCTGTCTTGGCATGAAAAGAAAGTGATGCAGAGATGACACCAGGCATCTGCATCAGGAACTGACAAAAATGACAGTGAATTCATGGGGAACCAAATGTGCCATGAAGCCCAGGCACAGAATCATAGACGGGTAGGACTGGAAGGGACCTCAGTAGGTCATCTACTCTAGTCCCCTGCAGGATTAAGTAATAACTAGACCATCCCTGACAGGTGTTTGTCTAACCTGCTCTTAAAAAGCTCTTAAAGACAGAGATTCCACAACCTCCCTAGGCAATTTATTCCAGTGCTTAACGACCCTGACAGGAAGTTTGTTTAATGACCAACCTAAACCACCCTTGCTGCAATTTAAGCCCATTGCTTCTTGTCCTATCCTCAGAGGTTAACGCGAACAATTTTTCACCCGCCTCCTTGTAACAACCTTCAAAACTGTTATCATGTAATCCATCCCCCCCAGCCGCGTTCAGTCTGCTCTTCTCCAGACTAAACAAACACAATTTTTTAAATCTTTCCTCTTAGTCTTAAATCATGTTTTCTAGACCTTTAATCGTTTTTGTTGCTCTTCTCTGGACTTTCTTCAGTCTCTCCATATCTTTCCTGAAATGTGGCACCCAGAACTGGACACAGTATTCCATCCGAGGCCTTATCAGCAAAGTACTTGCTGTGTTGTCTCTGTTTCTGATGGCAAGCGCTGGGTTCTGTCTCTGTCACTCTGGCAAAGCTTGCATGATGCATTATGCCATTATCATCAAATTACACCTCACCCACAATGCACATAGCCCACTCCCCGACAAACCTCCTGTGTCTAATCTCCAGGCACTTATAGCTGTAATTCACTGATGAGGGTATATCCTACATCCCCAACATACAGAGGGTGTAAGCCTAATACAGGCACCAGTTACAGAGCCTGATTCTTTACCGCTTCAGCTCTAGAGGTCCCTGGTATAAGCCATGATGGTGGCTATCATCCATCCACCTCCCTGCTTGCCTGTGTCTCCTTCATGGGTGTCGCATCTCTGAAAGCAGGAAAGAAGGGCCGTGAGTAACTCATCAGCCTAGGGCCCCTCTTGTGGGGCGAGTAACTCCTGCCCAGTAAGGGAGGTGGATGGTAAGGTGATCCGGCTGCAGTGTGGTTTATCACAGTAAAGTCTGACCTAGCCCAGCTGTAGTGGGGGAAGGTGGGCATCTTTTCCAGGCCTCTCTGTGCAAGGAATGGGGTGGCACAAGGAGCCCCTCCAGACCTACCCCCTTAGAATTAATCCCCAGTCTCTGAAGGCAAGGCCGTGAGGCAGCATCACCAACTCTTCTCGCCAGTAACCAACTGGGCCTTGCTGGAGCCAGTGACGGATGATGATGAGAGAAAAGCACCCCCGCTTCCAGGGGAAAAGCCCCTTCTGATTGGCTGCTCTTCCCTATAAGGTGAGGAAGTGGGGAACGCAACCAATCAGGGCTGCTGCAGGAGGCAGCCAAAGCTCTCACCAGAGCTCTCAATCCCCTCAGGCACCAAAGGATTCTTTGGGTAGGGGAGGGAGACCCCGTTCTCATGAGAAGGGAGGGAAGAGAGCTCCCCTCTTGTGAACAATGGGTCCTTCAACACTCTGCTCCTCCCTCCTGCCAACGCCAGGCCTGGGAAGGGGGAGAGGGGAGTGAAGAACTCCTAGAGCTGCCCCCCACACCAGGAGGGGGGAGAGGGGACCCCTGCAGCTGTCCCCCCGCAGCCTGGGAGAGGAGGATGAAGAACTCCAGGTGCTGCAGGTGGAGCAGAGGTAGGGCTGGGACAACAGGCAGATGCAGAGACTGTGGAGAGTAGAACTGATGTGGGGCTAGAGGGGCAGAATTAATGGCTGGTCAGGGGGACAGGCAGATGGGGGATTGGGGGGCGCTGAATTGTTCATTTGGGGGAGAAGCTGGAAGCTCTACACTATCTGGCAGCCCGCAATAGCTCTTGCAGCAAGGGGCCAAATCACTTTATCTGTTTGGGAGCGCTGGCAACACAAAATTTGTGTCGTTCCCCTGCCACACACACACACTGGGGATGGCCAGAGGGAGCGGGAGGAGTTAAAAAAAATCAAAGACAAAGCAAAAACCACAGTATAATTTTTTTTTTTGAAAAAAACAACTCATGATTTTTGGGTCAATCTAGTGATTTTGGGGGAATCAGTCATGATTCTTTGAACGTTTAGGGTTGGCAATACTGCCTGATGGTGGGGCTGGTTGGGAGGACATTTCTACTGATGGGAGGGACACTGCAGAGTGGGACAGAAGTAGTGGAAGCACAAGGGAGCAGGGTAGAGAGGGGACTCAGGCAGAAAACTAGAGGAAGGTTTGCCTGCTCTGGATCCTTACACCTCCAAGTGGTGGATGGGGCTCTGTGTTGCCTAGGTTTAAGAAAGTGCCAGTGTGACTATGAGGTAGGACTGTATCTGAGTTGTTCATGTCTAGTGTGGACACACTGACCCATTTGTGCACAACTGATTGAAGAGCAGACAGTGTAAGTCTCACTTGTAGACAAGGCCTCATCCTGCTGCATAAAGAACAATCCTGGTGTTTTGCTTTTGTCACAGGGTCATTGGTATGTTGTATACACACAGGGATCTGAACAATGACAGTCAGTCCTTTGAGGGACTTATGCAGTGGGGTTAGAGCCCTAACGTGTAACTCTGCCAATGGTTCTGATGCTAGGCAAGACACTCCCCCCTCC